CCCCCCCCCCCCGCCCCAAGATCTGCGCGGTTGTGTCCTTTCTTGCTAAAAGTGACACTGTTTCCTAGCTAAATCACAATTAGCAGAGGCAGAATTTATTAATCTGCACAATAAATCGGACAAGACGTATAGAACGTTCTAAATATACAGCAAAAAGCTATTAAGTCATGTATGCTCAAAGTGGCAGTAGTTTAAATACACGGAGAGGTTATGGCCAATATGCCAACTAGCCTTTTAGATCGCCGACTTGAGGATATAGCGAATGGTTTGCAGCTGCGTAAAAGAGCCGCAGACGAACGCTCCATGCTACGCGAGGTCGCCCGCCAATTCATCCGAACAGTTCTGCGCCTTGCTTCACCGCACTTCCTCCGCCCCGCCCCTTTCCATTGTGACGAGAGGCATTCGACGCCAGCGACTAACGTGCGAAATAGTGGAGGGGAGAGCGGGAACTCACCCAGTCCCGCAGCATTTGTTGGCATGCGGCGATGCGGCGCCGAGGATTGCGGAGAAGACGTGACTTCTCCTCTGCACACTGGAGATTCTGTGTTTCCTGGGTCGCACTGGCATTGTCTCTATTGCAGGGACTTTCCTTAGGTAAAAGAGCGCGTACTTCAATAATTAGGAGGAAGAAGGGAAGGGGAGGGCTTCCGAGCCCGACCCCCTGGAGATCATAATGCGCCTCCTGTCTTCCGTCTGGCATATTGGTAGCGTAATTCGCGAGGAAAGTCAACGAAAATACTGCATGTTTGATTGGCTTGATCATCTTTAGTTGCTGGACGAAGGAGTATAACTGGGAAGCAAATCCATAATAATGGTTCGCATAGGAAAGACAGCGTTTGTAGGTGGTCAGTTAGCACGTCTTCCAAACCATGCTTCCTGGGCTAGTAGCGTATGGTTTCCGTATGAATAATCCAATTTTTGCCAAATTTCATTATTCATTATATTATTAATTTCATTATTATCTTTTAACACATTTCAGTCCCATAATTCATTTGGATACTAGATGTAAGCATGTAGACTTTTCATCACTTCCTAGTTTTCTGCTCAACCTTATTTTGTTTCAACAGTTTTGGGAAGGTGTGTCAGTTGTTGCAATTACTACAATGGCTTAGTTCAGCCATAAATCACTCAGATCCAGGGTGGATTTGCTTTAAATCAAGTCGATTTAAATCATGATTTAAATCACTAGTAAAAAGGCTTGATTTAAATCAACTCAATTTAAATCTTAATTTTTAAAGAGCAACTGTCATCTCTCTCCCACTCCTCTGACAGCTGTTGACTCCCAGACAGTCCCATTCTGGGATGGCTGGAGATGCAGCAGTGACACAAGGTAAGGGACGTGGCAGGCAGCAGATGAGTGGATGCCCACTAACAGGCACTGCCATGATGGATCTGAAATGAGAGGTGCTCTTTAAATGTAAGGACTCATTCTTACTGGTAGTTAAAATCTTTAATATTATTATTTGCAAACAAAATGAAGGTTTCCTATTTAGCTTGCAGAGCCTGGATTCATTGAAAGAGTTGTAAATTTAGCAGAATATACAGCCTCATGCTACATAACTAAGCTCCATTTCATGCTGAATAAACTAAATTATTAATGTATTTTAAACAGAAAATAGATTTTACTCCAAAAGCTTTTTATTAAAATAAATTTGATTAAAAAATTCCAATTTAAATTTTAAAATATCTGATTTTTATCTACTCTGTTCAGATCTATTATTAGATCTATGTGCAAATTTCTATCTGCTACATTATGAACTTGCAAACTGTTTTCTGATACTTTTGTAATTTTCCAAAAGGATATGAAAGTAAAACAAAACTAAAGAATCAAGTTATTTGGAATAATGATTATTTTGTATTAGACAAATAAAAGTAACATTTATTTCAAGATTCAAGACCTTTCAAACAAAGGATCCCAAAATGCATTTGAGCAAATAAACTAGTTGAGAGAACAAAATAAATGGATTTTCATTTTTATCTGAGAAAGAATATCGTATTAGAATGTATTCATTTTCCAGATTTTATAATTGAAAACAGTTCTAGAAAAACAATAAATGTCTAGAATTACTGTAATTTATTATATTTTTATTTATTTAAATATTTATGGTTGTATGACTCCATCTTGTGGCTATACATTGTAGTTATTTTCTATTCAGAAAAGTGTACTATAGTTTAAAACTTAGAAATAAGACACATGGGATGAAATTTACCTTCAATTGAACAGCAAAATCCAAATGATGAAAAAAGGTTAGTTAGTTGTATAGAATTCTGTTTTCTGGGTTGATATTCAAAACTAAATCCAAAAACAGTACTACAAATATTGGTATTTATTTTGTTAATCTAAAAAAGGGAATATATGGTTCATAGGCAAACTGAAACAAAAGATTGGAAAGCAGAATTTATACCCTTTTTGAGCTTCAGATTGAAATAATGCTAGCTTTAGAAATGCGCAATAAAAATCCAGCACTATAGTTAAACTTTGCTTAATGAAAAACACATATTCATGGCTAGATTAGGCCACATTTTGAGCTGTCTTGCCTTTTCTCTGTGTCTGAAAATTGCATAGTTGGTCAACCTTAGGATAATACACATAATCAAGTTTGGATGACGCACAGATTTGTGAATCATAAGAAATCTATGATGAACCATAGATAAAAATGTGAAAATATTGCTTTTTTTAATCATAATTCAAGCTGTATCATGTATTTGTATATCACATTTTATACAACCATGCTCTGATTTAGCACACGTTAATTATGTATTGGTTGGACTAAAATTTTAAATAAAAGTTATGTAATAATTTTATACTTGAAAAACATGAATCTTTCTTCTGAATAGGCATTTATAGGACTGTACAAAGTAATACTTAAACTTTTCTATAATTTCATTTTCTTTATTATATGTTTCTTGTAATTATTTCAGTTGTTTCATGCTTATATAATTTGTCATTTTTGGCCTCTTTTACTATCTTCAGAATCTTCAAGCATCTTGACTTCATAAAATCTTATAATCTTCATATAATGTTCAAATGTTTAACCTTTAGATTATTAGACTCTTACACAACTGCAAATCATTTGCATTATTCTCATGTTGGTGACCTAAATTACATTATCTAATAATCTAAAGCTTAAACATTTGAAAGTATAATTATCATTTTATGAAGTAAAGAATAATCAGAGGAGATTCTGATGTTTGAAGATTCTGAAGATAGTGAAAAAGGCCAAGAGAAGACAACTGGTTATCACAAGCATGAACTTGCTACAACTGTAATAATTACCATATTTTTCACACTACAAGACTGCTCCGGACTATAAGTCGCACATTAGCTTTAGAGGAGGAAAAGAAAAAAAAAATCTGCCTCTGCCTCCCAGCGTGTCCATCCGGTATTTATCTGGCTAGCATCCTTACAGCAAACAGCCTGATCACTTCACATTATCGTAGCCCCAGCATGTGGCTCGTCAGGGCTCCACTCCATTGTGGTCAACACCAGTCAACTGAACTGAGCTGCCATGGCGTCGGAGCAACACTGGAGTCTTCGCTGCTGAGCAGCTAATTGGTGGTTGGATCAGCCTCCCAGAATACCACCTATCAGCTGTTTTAGGTGGTGGAGATCGCCACCGCTGCCGCCACCTATCCCTGCCTGTTCGCTGCTGCTGCCAATCACAGCCGCCCGTTCACTGCTGCCCATCAATGGTAAATGGGCAATGGCGAACGGTTCAGCGGTGATAGGCGGTGGTGCTGATCCCTTCCGCTTTGAACAGCTGATCGAGGTATTCTGGGAGACTGATCCAACCGCCAATCAGCTGCTCGGGAGCGAAGGATCCCCCATTCTCCAGCGGCAGCACTGCACCAAACCCCCTTTCCCACCACTGCAATATTCGCTCTATAAGATGCACAGACATTTCCACCCACTATAGTGCAAAAAATACAGTACACTGTAGAAAAGAATAAGTTATACTTTGTACAGTCCTTAGAAAAGAAAAGTGGATGCCTTTGAACTGGTTGCTGGAAAAGCCACACCTCTGGCTATAGCCATAATTAATTACTAAGTAAAGTAATATCAAACTGCTCATTGAAAATAGTCTGATTTTCTAACCCCTTGCTTAAGCAGGAGACCCTAAATCATGGCAAACCTTTTAGGGACCGCGTGCCCAAACTGCAACCCATAATAGACTTATTTATCACAAAGTGCCATTTTGATTCCTTGGTTAGGAAGGCTCAACAGAGACTTCATTTCCTTAGAGTCCTGCGGAAAAATCAGGTGGAACAATGACTGATGACTTCTTTCTATTGGTCTATGATAGAAAGTATCCTTACATACTGTATAACAGTATGGTATGCAGATTCAACAGCTGCGGACAGGAAGACACTACAGAGAGTGATAAATTCGGCACAAGTAACCATGTGTTGCTCCCTAACACCACTGGACGACATCACCAGGTCTCGTTTCCGCAGAGTAAGGAAGATACTTAGGGATGGTTCACATCCTTTTCTCACTTTTACTATCAGGCAGAAGACACAGAAGTATAGCCAGCTGGACAAACAGATTTAAAAACAGCTTTTATCCATGGACTGTCAGACTCCTAAAAACAATTACAATCACTTCAGGCATACATGGAAACATATGACTGGTTTCTCCCTAATTACTTGTATAAGGACCATTCTCTGTATTATTTATGTTGTATTATATTTTTGTTATGGATAGCACCAGCAGAAGCAAAATCAATTTCATTGTATATATGTACAATGACAATAAAGGTTATTATTATTTGACTATTTAATTTTCTTGGCAATTTTAGCATGCATATTCTTGGCAGTTTTGGCATGTATTAAATATGTGTTCAAACAGTTTTCTGTTTGACAATATCAAGTTTAATCCTGCCACTTCATAAACATTAGTGCTTCTTGTACTTGCTGTTTCTTTTTCACTAGTTCTTAGATACCTTTTCATTAGTATATTTTCTAGTGTCACACTGACATTGCCCTTATTTTAAATGTCTATTTTAATTGATTTAATTTTAATTGTTTTAGTTTTCTTGGCAGAATACTGGTGTCAGTTGCCATTTTCTTCAGTGGATTTATTTAGTTTGATTACTCAAAATACTGTGCCCATCATGAGTGATCCTTCTGGAAGGGTAGTCTTAAGTTATAACAAAATGTCTTTGAATTGTGTTCAGTGAAATAAAAAAGTAATATTTCATTTACAGAAATATGCATTAAGTGGAAGTAGGATTGTGAAAGAACATTTGATGGGACCTTATGGTTGAATATAGAAGATATTTAGAATTGGAAATGCTCTTTATAGTTTTTGGTAAAGGTTTCCCCTGTCTGGCTATTTCTGGATGCGTGGCAAGGCTCATTTCCATTTCTTAGCCAAGGGAGCCAGCATTGTCCAAAGACATTTCTGTGGTCAGCATGACTACATGCTGAGATGCATGGAATACTGTTATCTTCCCACTGAAGTGGCACGTATTTATTCCTTGCATTTGCATGCTTTTAAATTAATTGGTGGGCAGGAACCAGGGCAAGTAACGGGAGTTCATCCCATTGTGCGGGACTTGGGTCTCAAATCTGGGCCGTCAGATTTCCACCTGACAAACTCAGTGTCTTTATGTCTATAGAAATTCTCAGCCATGGACTGAGAATCTCCATAGACATTTAGTCATGCGCTCAGAGATGAACAAGCTTCTTGGATAAGAAGTGAAATGTTTTCAAAGAAAAAAACAGAAAGTCCAATTGCCTCTGGAAAAAAAAAGCAGCTTTGGATCTCTTAAATCCCCCATTCCTTAGATATTCCAGGACATTCAAATAACTTAAATGTTACAATACTCATAGACAAAGGAAGGGAGGGTTTGCATGTGTGTTACTTTTCCCCAGAGTCCAATAATCGCAAGTCCAGTATTTATTTGCATTTTATTCTATCCTTCCTCCAAAGGGAGGGCGGGGGGGGGGATGCTGCATTTTTCTTTAATTAATAATTTTCAAACAAAAAGTAAGATAGAATAGTTCATGGATCAAAGTCATTCAAGAGACTTTGTGGCCAAGCACAAAGTTGAACTACTGAGCTGTCCCTGATCTAGTGACAGGATTGCTTACCCCATATTTAGGCGTGTATATATTGCATTCCTATTGCATGCCTGGTTGGATCCTTTAAAACTCATCAATCTATATTTTCTGCTTCTCTGTTTTTTTCTACAATAACAAAAATCCATTGAAAAATAATATGTGAAATAACTGCAGTGTATTTCTGACTGGCAGCATTAGCCACTCTTTTTTTAAGTTATTTGAATGTCTTGGAATATCTAGGAATGGGGGATTTAAGAGATGTGTATCGTCTTATTCTACGGGCAAACTACAGGAACAGGGCGAGGTAGGTATCGTATTTGCGCAAACCATGCCACAGACCACAATGTCTGTGCAGAAGCCAAAACTATATTTGAGGATTACCCTCGCCCTTGTACTGTCTGAAAAAGAGACGTCAAAATACCACACCAAGCACACAAGGGAGAGCTGAAACTGGACTCCACCACCTGTCAGTGGTTGGGCTGCAAGCAAAACCTCGAGAAGAAGGTAGGAGAAAGGCAGGCTGTTTAGCTCGCAATTTTACGGACAGCAATCTCCGCGTTCCCCCTCGAAGCATACCTTCCCCCTGGAAGATGCTAGTGGATGGCAAGGGGCACAAAGATCCCCCTGACCTCCCTTTGAAACCAGTTAAGCAATTGAGTAAACTGCGAGTTCCCTTAGTTGGCAGCCTAAGCGGAGTGGCCCGGAACTGCCCATTGCAGGTGATAGGTGGAATCAGCTTCTTTAGTGACCCTCCTGTGACCCATTGCATCCAAATGGTTGCAGTGGGGAATTGGGGGCGGGGGGGGAAATAGGGATATCTGAGGGGATGAAGAAGAGCGGCTGGCTCGGGAAGCAGAAATGCAGCGGGAATCTTGAAATCGTCTGATATTTACTCTGACAATGGTATACGTACGAGATTGAGTTTGCAGTTGGGAACCCGATGCGTAGCCATGCCTCACCACGAGGCCGCTTCTATCGGCTGATAGAAGCGGCTGGTGACTGCCTTGGGGAGCTTCTATTGGCTGATAGAAGTGACCTCGTGAAGTGTGGCTGCCCACAGGGCGCTCCACAAGGCCGCTTCTATTGGCTGATAGAAGCGCCCCAAGGGCAGAGTCACCAGCCGCTTCTAGCGGCCGATAAAAGTAGCCTCGTGGAGCGCCCTGTGGGCAGCCACAGCTCGCCACAAGCCCGCTTCTATCAATAGAAGTGGTCTTGTGAGGTATGGCTGCCCGCAGGGCGGTCCACGAGGCCGCTTCTATTGGCCGATAGAAGTGGCTGGTGACTCTGCCCTTGGGGTGCTTCTGTCAGCCAATAGAAGCGGTCTTGTGGTGAGGTGAGTGTGTGACGCTCTAGGTGGGGATGTGCGTGGGGGGAAGAAATTAAGTCACCCCCGAAAAGATGGCCTAGCTCTTTTTGGGGCTCAAAAAAAAAAAAAGGCCCGGCCTTATTTTATGAGAAAGACGGTAGTTCTCAACTTACAATAGTTCATTTACTGACAGTTACAAAGGCACTGAAAAATGACTTATGACTATTTTTCAGAGTTATGACCTTCGCAGCATCCCCATGGTCAAAAGATCAAAATTCAGATGCCTGGCAACTGGTTCATATTTATGATCCTTGCTCTGTTTCAAGGTCATGTGATCACTATTTTGCAAAAATCAATGGGAAAGCCAGATTAACTTAACAATCAGGTTATTAACCTATCAACTGCAGTGATTCACTTAACTGGCAAGGAAGATCATAAAATGAGGCAAAACTAACTTAACAAATGTCTCACTTAACAGAAATTTTGGACCCAATTTTGGTTGTAAGTCAAGGACTAACTATTACTTTGGATACGCCTTAGATTGCTTCTGAAATTTAATGATGGCTTGTCACCAAAATATGGCAACAGAGCAGCTGATTGGCAATTTTTATACCAAACATAATTTTTGTTCCCTGTTTCACTCAACTTGTTACTTAGCTTTTCATTTAATTCTGATTCCATTCTTCCTGCACAATGACATTTGGAAACCATGACTGCCAATAGCAGATACTCTGATATTTAGAGGCAAAGTGCTTTTTCTCTTTGTTCTCAAAGTTAGTAGATCTCTTAAAGGAAACCTGAACTTATCAAACTGAATTAGATGTTCTTAATGGTCTTAAAATTAGTACTATTAATATTTCCAACTACCGTATTTATCGGCGTATAACACGCACAGGCGTATAACACGCATCTTCATTTTAAGAGGGAAATTTCAGGAAAGCGCCCGTTTCACCCCCACTCCCACCCCCCGCGCGCGCTTCAATCCACAGTGTCCCATTCTGCCTGCCTGCCTGCCTGCCTTAGTTTCTGGTTGTTTGGGAGCAGCTTCGGCTGAGAATAATAACTATTCGCCTCTTTTACTCAGCCGAAGCTGTTCCGATTCAACCATTAACGAAGGCAGGCAGGCAGGCAGAACGGAGCACTGCGGGCGGGCGGGGTGGGGGTGGGGGAGAAACGGGCGCTTCAGGGAAGCCCCCCCCCCCCCGCTTCTTTGAAGCAGTTTCTTCCTGTGCTGGTGGAGGAGCGAGAGAGCGACTGACAGAGCTGACCCAGAGAGAAGGACAGGCTTCGGTTGCTTCCTCCCTCCCCTTCTTTCATTTGTGTCCTTGATCCCCGATCCCAGCAGCATTCACCGAAGGCTTCTTAACATTATATCGGCGTATAACACGCATACATCATTTGCCCCCTATTTTCAGGGGGAAAAAAGTGCGTGTTATACGCCGATAAATACGGTACAT